GTCCCCCCCCCCCCCCCCCCCCCTTCACTCTCAATCCTGGTGCTGAAGTATTTTTGTAAAATTCTTAAGTGTCAAATGTGCGAAAGTAATCCATTTAAATGTCCAAAACTACCCAAATTTAGTTTTAAAATTCCTTAAAGGGACAGGTGCGCCATTCTTTTTTGACCAATCATCAGCTAAGCCAATCAGTAATAGTGTTCACAGCTCACCATCAAATTTTGAGCTTTCAAATACATGTGTGGCCAAATTTATCTACGTTTGAAAGTTAAAATGACGACTCGTCTTTTCTTGAGACACTGTGATATATAGAAAAGACATCTATAGAAATAGTGAGTAAATTTCTAGTTTGAGATATTTTTAAAGGAATTATGTGATTTTCGTACATTTCTAGTATTTCTGAAGACTATTTACATATATTCAAGACTCAAATCAACCAAGTCAAGGACCATGTATAGTGTATCGTTGTATTTTAGAAGGAATTATGTGATTTTCATATATTTCTAGTACAACATTTATATGCATCTGTCCCTTTAATTTTAGCCCTATTTAATTAAGCCCTAAAATTACTCTTATTTTTGGTCAATGTGTATCTGGACAGCCTGAACGACTGATTTTTTTGATTTAAAATCTAATTTAGGGAGACGTTTTAAAACGCTTGTCTGGTGTTTCCAACGAGGCAGATAGCGAAGATAACACTCGCAATTCAAACGAAATAAACACTCAGGTAGACTTGATCATCTGGTCATTTAGCATGTTGTACAGTGAATGTCTTAGTGATCTCCCCCTTTTTGCTTGTTACCTTCCTCTCTGTAGATTAAATAAACCCGATATCTTGACCGCACTGCATCGTGTTATGGGAGCCGCGGTGGCTCAGTGAAACGCTTGCTCGCTAATCTGAAGGTCCAGGGTTTAATCCTAGCATAGGTCAAGATAATACCTTCAGATTTTTCAACCCAGTTTCCCCCTGTCAGTAAGTTAGAAGCTCGCTAATCTGAAGGTCCAGGGTTCAATCCTAGCATAGTTCGAGATAATACCTTCGGATTTTTCAACCCGGTTTCCCCCTGTCAGTGATGGAGGTAAGAGGGGCTGACATGGAAAAAGTGTCTAGTCCTTCGGATGGGACAATAAACCGAGGCCCCGTGTGCTACAGGCTGTGTACGTTAAAGACCCCTCAAAGAGCAGGCTAATGCTGCTGTCCTGGCAAAATTTCCCTTATTGCACCCTGCATGGCGTTGCCCGTCTTCATTAGCCCACATGGTGCAGAACAGTAGGGTGTAAAACTCCATTCATTTCATTTGATTTCATTTGCATCTTGTATTAAAATATCAAAACAGAAATATGTCTGTGCGTTTTAGTACTTCTTAAGACTATCAATGCACATTCAAGACCCAGATCAATCCCCAAAAATGCTGACTGTTCTCCTTAAAATAAATTTTCCATTTTTTATGGCCTGAGGGGTGGGGCATGGTCCAAAAATTAGCGCCTAAATAAGCCAGTGCTAGTCTAGGACAGGTGGTATCAATTCTTCGCATCGAGAGTAATTCTTTCCGGAATGATTTCAAATTTTTTATCGACCAGCCTGATTAACACCACACTAATAATACAAATATCCAGTAGACTATATTATCCAGACCACACTAATAAGGCATGATAACCAGTAGACTACATTATCCAGACCTTAGTTTTGTTTTTATTTTAGTTTGTCTTGAGTTTAGTAAAGTTGTTTTTAATTTCAGTAATTGTTTTTATTTTATTTTGGATTTTGTTTTGAAATTTGTTTTGTTTGTGTAGTTAACATTTGTAGACATCTTAACAAATTAGCCCAATCCTAATCTTGGAAGAAATGAACAAAAGATTTTTCGTGTCTCTGTAATGTCAACTCTTACAATTAATACGACAATTTTTCTAAGATGGTGTTTTATAATGTCAAGGTATTAGAAGATGTTCGTAATACCTTGACATTGTGAAGATGAAAAATGTCAAGGTATTGGATTACTATTAGAAGATGTTAGTAATATTTTGACATTGTGAAAATGTGATACAAGGTGACTATTGCAGTCAAGGTATAAGCTGAAGTTTGTAATAGTTTGACATTGTGAAGATGTGTTACAAGAAAGGTGACTACTGCAGTCAAGGTATAAGACGATGTTCCTAATACCTTGATTACAATAGTCACCTTTCACTTATTAGACGATGTATCTTTACATTGTGAAGATGAAAATGTCAAGGTATTAGACTACTATTAGACGATGTATCTTGACATTGTGAAGATGAAAATGTCAAGGTATTAGACTACTATTAGACGTTGTCTGTTATATCTTGACATTGTGATGATGAAAAATCGTTATAAAAATACCTTGACATTCTAAAGATATATTTTCCTTATAATGTCAAGGTATTAGACTACTATTAGACGATGTATCTTGACATTGTGAAGATTAAAAATGTCAAGGTATTAGACTACAAAAGAATGATGTTCGTAATACCTTGACAATTCTTGATACTTTCTCAAACCCTTCACTGTACTGCATGTTAATGTAAATTTTATTTTTCAAGGGAGATAAGTTAATGCGTCTGCCAAGCGAGTCGTATGATAAACATGACTTGATGCGGAGTTTGAGTGTCGTTAACGATGGTGGACCGGAGGAAGTGGTGGAGGCAGATGACTATCTTCAACCGCATCCCAACTCAGACGACAGTATTGATAATAATAACGGACAGGCAAAGGTAGATAACTCTCATCAAACGTTCTTTCTGGATTCAGTAAACTCATTTGGTGACAATTTCGAAAACGCTGGCCTTGAATTTTTATTACTTACTTATGGCAGTTAACTCGAGGGGGATAAGAGTTGAAAGCTGACAGTTTGGAGATTCGAACCCACGACAATCCAACTCACTACTGACTGAGCTATTCCACTGTCCTAGCAGACAACAATCCAACTCACTACTGACTGAGCTATTCCACTGTCCTATCAGACGACAATCCAACTCGCTACTGACTGAGCTATTCCACTGTCCTATCAGACGACAATCCAACTCACTACTGACTGAGCTATTCTACTTTCCTATCAGACGACAATCCAACTCACTACTGACTGAGCTATTCCACTGTCCTAGCAGACAACAATCCAACTCACTACTGACTGAGCTATTCCACTGTCCTAGTGGACGACAATCCAACTCGCTATTGACTGAGCTATTCCACTGTCCTAGCAGACGACAATCCAACTCACTACGACTGAGCTATTCCACTGTCCTAGGAGACAACAATCCAACTCACTACGACTGAGCTATTCCACTGTCCTAGCAGACAACAATCCAACTCGCTACCGACTGAGCTATTCCACTGTCCTATCAGACGACAATCCAACTCGCTACTGACTGAGTTATTCCACTGTCCTAGCAGACGACAATCTAACTCATTACTGACTGAGCAATTCCACTGTCCTAGCAGACGACAATCCAACTCGCTACTGACTGAGTTATTCCATTGTCCTAGCAGACGACAATCTAAATCATTACTGACTGAGCAATTCCACTGTCCTAGCAGACGACAATCCAACTCGCTACTGACTGAGTTATTCCACTGTCCTAGCAGACGACAATCTAACTCATTACTGACTGAGCAATTCCACTGTCCTAGCAGACGACAATCCAACTCGCTACTGACTGAGCTATTCCACTGTCCTAGCAGACGACAATCTAACTCATTACTGACTGAGCAATTCCACTGTCTTAGCAGACGACAATCAAACTCACTACTGATTGAGCTATTCCACTGTCCTAGCAGACGACAATCCAACTCACTACTGACTGAGCTATTCCACTGTCCTAGCAGACTCCAACTCGCTAAGGAAACCAACTGAGGTATCCCAAGGCCATTTTGTATATAATATTTGTCAAATGCCTATTGCACATGTAAATGTTGTACTGATGTACGTAAATGTCGCACAATTTTGCACAATATCTTCTCACAAGTAAACTTAAGCCATCACAGATGTTACGTTTCACGATGTTGTTTTTTTCTATATCTTTAAATATGTTATTCGTGATCATTGAAAAAATGTTGTTTTATGTCTAAACCATTTGTCCCAAAATGTTTGGTTTGTCTTTGATGTTTTGTCCCTTTCTGTTACCCCATTTTCACACTATATTGAAAACACAATTGGAAAAAAGATCTTTTGAGCACTAATTAACCACGGCCTTGAAAGTTGGAAGTTTTTCTATAGGAAAAAGATGTAGGATTATCCTAAAAAGCATTGAAAATTGGATACGCCGATAAAGTTTTACCAGCTCAAATTTACGTCACTTGAAGTTCGGCTAGTAACTCAAAAGCATTCTCAAACTTCTAGGACACCTTGGGGACTTAAAAACTCTGGTATACCTTGAATTTGTGACACTTTTTAAACATTTTCAGAGAACAAGTTATTATTGTCTGAGCAAAGTAAAAAGTTTTTTTGAATTGGAATATCAACC